AGCTGACCTTGCTCGTCGACCTTAGAGTTCCTTGCCGAGCTGATCTTGCTCGCCAAGAAGCAAGTCGCGGAGCGGACCTTGCTCCTGCTCTTGAAGTTCCTTGCCGAGTTGATCTTGCTCGTAAAGAAGAAAGTCGCGGAGCGGACCTTGCTCCCGCTCTTGGAGTTCCTTGCCGAGCTGATCTTGCTCGCCAAGAAGAAAGTCGCCGAGCTGACCTTGCTCCAGCTATTAGAGTTCCTTGCCGAGTTAATCTTGCTCGCCAAGAAGGAAGTCGCGGACCGGACCTTGCTCGCCGGCCTTGGAGTTCCTTGTTGAGCTGATCTTGCTCGCCAAGAAGCAAGTCGCGGAGCGGACCTTGCTCGCCGACCTTAGAGTTCCTTGCTGAGCTGATCTTGCTCGCCAAGAAAAAAGTCACCGAGCTGACCTTGCTCGCCGACCTTGAAGTTCCTTGCTGAGCTGATCTTGCTCGCCAAGAAGAAAGTCACGGAGCGGACCTTGTTCCCGCTCTTGGAATTCCTTGCCGAGCTGATCGTGTTAGCCAAGAAGAAGGTCGCGGAGCAGACTTTGCTCCCGCTCTTAGAGTTCCTTGCCGAGCTGATCTTGCTCGCCAAGAAGAAAGTCGCCGAGCAGACCTTGCTCGCCGACTTTGGAGTTCCTTGCCGAGCTGATCTTGCTCGCCAAGAAGAAAGTCGCCGAGCAGACCTTGCTCGCCGACCTTGGAGTTCCTTGCCGAGCTGATCTTGCTCGCCAAGAAAAAAGTCGCGGAGCAGACCTTGCTCCCGCTCTTGGAGTTCCTTGCCGAACTGATCTGGCTCGCCAAAAATGAAGTCGCGGAGCGGACCTTGCTCGCCGACCTTGGAGTTCCTTGCTGAGCTGATCTTGCTCGCCAAGAAGAAAGTCGCAGAGCTGACCTTGCTCGCCGACCTTGGAGTTCCTTGCTGAGCTGATCTTACTCGCCAAAAAGCAAGTCACGGAGCGGACCTTGCTCGCCGACCTTGGAGTTCCTTGCCGAGCTGATCTTGCTCACCAAGAAAAAAGTCGCCGAGCTGACCTTGCTCGCTGACCTTGGAGTTCCTTGCCGAGCTGATCTTGCTCGCTAAGAAGAAAGTCGCGGAGCGGACCTTGCTCCCGCTCTTGGAGTTCCTTACTGAGCTGATCGTGTTAGCCAAGAAGAAGGTCGTGGAGCGGACCTTGCTCCCGCCCTTAGAGTTCCTTGCCGAGCTGATCTTGCTCGCCAAGAAGAAAGTCGCGGCGCGGACCTTGCTCCCGCTCTTGGAGTTCCTTGCTGAGCTGATCTGGCTCTCTAAAAATGAAGTCGTGGAGCGGACCTTGCTCGCCGACCTTGGAGTTCCTTGCCGAGCTGATCTTGCTCGCTAAGAAGAAAGTCGCCGAACTGACCTTGCTCACCAACCTTGGAGTTTCTTGCCGAGCTGATCTTGCTCGCCAAGAAGAAAGTCGTGGAGCGGACCTTGCTCTCGCTCTTGGAGTTCCTTGCCGAGCTGATCTTGCTCGCCAAGAAGGAAGTCGCAGAGCCGACCTTGCTCACCGACCTTGGAGTTCCTTGCCGAGCTGATCTTGCTCGCCAAGAATAAAGTCGCGGAGCGGTCCTTGCTCGCCGACCTTGGAGTTCCTTGCCGAGCTGATCTTGTTCGCCAAGAAAAAGGTCACGGAGCGAACCTTGCTCCCGCTCTTCGAGTTCCTTGCCAAGCTGATCTTGGTCGCTAAGAAGAAGGTCGCGGAGCGGACCTTGCTCTCGCTCTTAGAGTTCCTTGCCGAGCTGATTTTGCTCGCTAAGAAGAAAGTCGCCGAGCTGACCTTGCTCGCCGACCTTAGAGTTCCTTACTAAGCTGATCTTGCTCGCCAAGAAGAAAGTCGCGGAGCGGACCTTGCTTTCGCTCTTGGAGTTCCTTGCCGAGTTGATCTTACTCGCCAAGAAGGAAGTCGCAGAGTGGACCTTGCTCACCGACCTTGGAGTTCCTTGCCGAGCTGATCTTGTTCGCCAAGAAAAAGGTCGCGGAGCGAACCTTGCTCCCGCTCTTCGAGTTCCTTGCCAAGCTGATCTTGCTCGCTAAGAAGAAGGTCGCGAAGCGGACCTTGCTCTCGCTCTTAGAGTTCCTTACCGAGCTGATTTTGCTCGCTAAGAAGAAAGTCGCCGAGCTGACCTTGCTCGCCGACCTTGGAGTTCCTTGCTGAGCTGATCTTGCTCGCCAAGAAGAAAGTCGCGGAGCGGACCTTGCTTTCGCTCTTGGAGTTCCTTGCCGAGCTGATCTTACTCGCCAAGAATGAAATCGAGGAGCGGACCTTGCTCGCCGACCATGGAGTTCCTTGCCGAGCTGATCTTGTTCGCCAAGAAGAAGGTCGCGGAGCGGACCTTGCTCCCGCTCTTCGAGTTCCTTGCCGAGCTGATCTTGCTCGCCAAGAAGAAGGTCGCGGGGCAGACCTTGCTTCTGCTCTTAGAGTTCCTTGCCGAGCTGATCTTGCTCGCCAAGAAGAAAGTCCCCGAGCTGACCTTGCTTGCCGACCTTGGAGTTCTTTGCCAAGCTGATCTTGCTTGCCAAGAAGTAAGTCGCAGAACGGACCTTGCTCGCCGCTCTTGGAGTTCATTGCTGAGCTGATCTTGCTCGCCAAGAAGAAAGTCGCTGAGCTGACCTTGCTCGCCGACCCTGAAGTTCCTTACCGAGCTGATCTTGCTTGCCACGAAACAAGTCGCGGAGCGGACCTTGCACGCTGACGTTGGAGTTCCTTGCCGAGCTGATCTTGCTCGCCAAGAAGCAAGTTGCAGAGCGGACCTTGCTCGCTGACCTTGGAGTTCCTTGCCAAGCTGATCTTGCTCGCGAAGAAGCAAGTCGCGAAGCGGACCTTGCTCGCCGACCTTGGAGTTCCTTGCCGAGTTGATCTTGCTCGCCAAGAAGCAAGTCGCGGAGCGGACCTTGCTCCCGCTCTTGAAATTCCTTGCCGAGCTGATCTTGCTCACCAAGAAGAAAGTCGCGGAACGGACCTTGCTCCTGCTCTTGGAGTTCCTTGCCAAGCTAATCTTGCTCGCCAAGAAACAAGTTGCTGAGCCGATTTTATTCACCAAGAAGTAAGTTGTCGAGCTGACTTTGCTTGCCAAATTTGAAGTTTCTAAACCAAGCAAAGTGAACCACCGAGCAAAAAGTCAAGCCCGGCCTTGTAATGTAATTCCGGTCACGCAAATGCGGAGGAAATTAAGGGGCAATTGAGAGGGAGATTTCCGTAATCTCAACTTGGGTCGCGGTTCTGGCCGGCCTGAAAGTGGTCCAAGCGTATTTGGGCCGAGCTGGGCTAAGCCGTGCCGAGAGGAAGCTTGTTCAACCGAAGTTTAGACCAGAGTTGGCCGAGATGATTCTCTGCTAGCTTGTCTTCTCTTGTTTGCTCGTTTTAGCTCGGTGATCGTGATCTGCCACAGACCGGCCTAACTTGGTTGGAGCACAGTCGCACCGGAGTGTTGCTCAACTCGGTAGTGATGGTGTTCGGCGAGGAGCATTGTTGGGCTCGTTAGGCAGCACGGTCGAAGGAGGTTGGGATGGTGCTGCCGAGCTGTCTGTTCTGGCTAATGTTGTCTGGCGGTTTGATTAGGTGGTGTTTAGTTGGATTTGCGTTGACAGATGGGAGAGCAGCTCCACGTGTCAATAGACGAATGGGTGCAGAGGTAAACGCAGAAAGTATACAAGCATGACTGCGCCTCCCATGCTGTGGATGAAACTTCATCTGGTGAAAGAAACTCTCTTTATCTCTCTCTCTCTCTCTCTCTGAGTGAGTGCTAACTTGACCGTCGGAGGGGTTTTTCGGCAACACACCGCCGGGTAGCTCACCGCCGTTGGGCCCACAGGTTAATTGGATCGAAGCGGAGCTTGGACGCAAGGAATACGAGCGGTACCGAATATTTGCCCCCCGTACAATAACAAATTAAATCATAAAAGTATCTTAATCTAATTTTTAATTTTTAACACAATTTATTATTTAATAACATTTTAAATTAAACATGTACATATATATTTAACAAATTAAAATGTAAGTTAATTAAAATTAAAAATTGAGTTTATTAAAAAAAATATTTAGAAAACTCTAGTTTCTTAAATTAGTTTTGTGTTATGTTTTTAATTTTTTTTCTTAGCCACGGAAGTAAATTTATTTATTTACAAAGAGAGCTAAAAACAAAAGAAAAATACATAAAGGGTATAATTATCTTTTTATTGTTAACATTAACGGTGTTAATGTTACATTTTAGTCCAAAACTAAAATACTCCTAATAATAATACGATGAAACACGTATTAATGTTTACATTAACCATGTAGATGTTTCATGATGTGAACATTTACACTGCCGATGTGAACATTTATATTATCAAATTTATTTAATGTGAATGTTCACATCGCCAAGTTGTTAAGAGTTTAAAAAATATTTATGAAAATAAAATAATTCATAAAATAACGTAAATATAAAAATTAAGATTTGGTGAATCAAATGTATAAAATAATAAAAGTTATTAAAATATAAGAATATCATATGAATTAATTAGGATACAATTATTTAAAAGAAAATTTTCTAATAGATTACCCTTTTTTATTCATTACCCAACAATGTCACCTAAAACATCGCTAGCTTAGAATTGCTTTATATATATTTTTAAAAAATTTATTTATATTCATCAATCACATAATAGGTTAAATTCACTTGTATGAATATACTCCACCTATATGCAATAAATCGCAAATTACATTTATTGATTAAATCTAAGACTATGTTTAGTTCATAAATTTGAATAAAAATTTAAAAAGAGAAAGAGAAAAAAATATATAAAATATAAATAAAATATAATTGTATTTCATTCATATTTTACATAACTTTTTCCTTTTTCTTTTCAAATTCATACCTAAATCCATTAACCAAACACAGGATAAGGGTTTTATGCCCAGTGAAATTAGGAACATGAGACCATTAAAAATTATATCCGAAAATGCAGCTTTTATATCCAACCTTTAGTCAATGGGTCACAAATGTTATATTGTTTAACAGTGTTCATACAAATAAGGGCCTGGGTTGGATTTGAGAGAGCATGTGAAGCTAATCAGAAAGACATAAATATGGTGCAGCAGTTAGGATGTAGGGGGTTTAGTAGAAAACGTTTCTAATCCATATATATGGCTAGTATATATATATATGTACAATGCATGTTAGAATCTGGCTGTGGACTTCTAAATTTTGACTCTCAATGGTTGAGAACTCACTCTTGGCAGCACATCGAAACCGAAAGCAAATCAGATAACCAGTTTCTATTCCATTCATTTGGGAGGAAAAACCAGGAACACCTAAAAAAGACTGAAAACCCACCACCCCAACAATTCATCCAGCTGCATCACCTCCTCCAGTCAAGCTTGTTGCCTTGGTTCCCTTCAAATGGGAGGAAAAGCCTGGAAAACCGTTTCCCTGATTCCCCCAGACACCACAAGAAGCAGAATTCAACTCCCACCACAAAAGCTCATTGCCTCTCTAGAAAATGATGATGATGACCATGGTAGTTGTGGTGATGGTGTTCCTAGTGAGGAGATTTTGGAACCAGGTCTTGAAGCATTCGGTTTTGTAACAGATGAATCCTTTTGCTCAGAGCTCCATCCCCGCTAGCCAATCATCTTTTATCAACTGCGGCTGCTTCTGATGCTGTTCACCAGCAGCAAACCCCTTCTTCACCGGCTTCTGAATCTGAAAGCAGCATGAGCAGCTATACAACAGGAACAAGCAGCCCAGTTGGGGCATCTTTGTCACCCGATTCAAGCTTAATTGAAAAGCTTGGCTGCCTAGAAAAACTCTTCTAATACTCCAATGGAAGTACAAAGTACAGATTATGATCAAGAAAGCAATTCGAGTGTCACAGCAAGGCCAGCAACACTAGGAGAGGTAATAATGATTAGTCGAAGAAGTTACCAAAGGAAAGCTGTTCAAACTCTGAGACAGAACCTCCCAATGGTAATGTTTTGATTAAAACCTGCACAGAAATGGCTTCCATAATGATAAAACCAGAGGGCACAATATGAACAGAAGCAAGATGTCATAAAAAGCAAAAGATCAAAAATCTGCATCCATTGATTCCGTTTTTACATCCTAGTGACATGAAATAACAATCATATGCACAAACACCTGTTATGCAGATGGTATTTGAGAGTACTAACATGCTTATCTGATTGTAACAATGGCAGGAGTTTATGAAGAATGCAGTTCGGTGCCGCATCTTTGGAACTAACAATGGGACTAGAAGATTGCAGAGAAAGTGGAAGAGGCACATACAACTGAAACTGATGTAGGAAACTGAGATCTTCCTGCCTTACAGTTCAAAATCACCGTAAAATTATCTCTCTCCATCAACCATCACTTTGTAGATTGTCACTTTTCAATGCCGAGTCATGAGAATGTAAATATTTTATTTAGAAGTTCTGTAATGAACGAACGAATTTCAATAACCACCATGAACAAATTTCAAAATCTGCAAGGGCTCCGACATAGTAATGCTGGCACATCTACTTCAATCAAACACTCTAATCGTGATTTCTCATAGAGCAATGTCATCATATCTTAAACTCCACAAGTTCAAGGCACTTCAAGTATGTGTACAAATTTCTATGACCTTACTAATTCGTTCCATAACTATGGGAATATCATTTTCCGATAATGTAGTGAAACAACACCTGAACCACCCTGGTTCAATGCAGTGGCAAGCTGACCCAGGAGTTACGTTGATCTTCGCTATGCTCAAGAGTTTATCCCATAATTCAATCTCCCCTTTCTCATTGTAAGGTCGAATTAATTTGCTCATATTAGCCCAGCAGTATAAACCCCCACTGCTATTTGCACACTCAATCCCTAATTGATTCAAACCTGCCACAAACAAATCATACAATGATCGTATCCTCTTTCTATTGATATCAATGTATTCCTGCATGAATTGCATATCTGACAGCATTGAAATTAGTAGCCGTTGGGTTGGAGCTGAAATTGAAGAAAATCTCGCCAACCTTTTGGAAGCTGTCAAAACATTCTCATTTTGGGAATAGATAACCCCAACTCTAAATCCTGGGAGGGAAAAATCTTTGGATAGCCCATATATTATATGAACCCGGTTCTTGTCAAAATCTTCAGAGTCAAGAATTTCTGCCATGCTTACAAAGTCTTCGCTTCCATAGGTGGACCCTGCAAATATTTCATCAGATATGATATGGATGTTCTTATCTCTGGCAAAGTCTAAGAGGTTGTAGAGTGTTTCCCGAGTAAGCAGATTGCCAACAGGGTTAGAAGGATTTGAGAAGATAATTCCACGAACTTTTTGTCCCCTTTTTCTCGCTTGATTGAATGCTTGTTCAAGAGCTGTGATACTTAAAATGAAATTGTCGGAGCTACGACAGTGAACAGGTATTAGCTCTACTCCTGTTCGCCACTTTATATCCCTATCAAAACTGCAGATAGATTTTCTGATTAAATTTCACAAAAATTATCTTACAATGAAATAATACGATGAAAAATTGTTTATCAATTGATGTTTATACATGAGTAAAATAGATTATTTTAAAATCAGAAGATTAATATTACCCTGGGTAGTATGGTGTGGGAATGAGAAATGCATTCCCCTGGTCTGCCAAACAAAAGCTGAGTATCTCGATTGCAGGAGTCGCACCAGATGTTAATACTAGTTGCGATGAGTTAAAAGATACTGCTCCTCCCATTACCCGGGACATGAAACCTGCCACAGCCTGTAAAATTGACTAAAAGTTGTAAACAAAGTGCAATTCCACAACATGCTTGGCTGATTATTTTATGTGATTAAAACAGTGATAAACTAATAAAAATTCATAGGCTTCAAGTTTTTTCTTTTCTTTTTAAAAGAAGTTAAACTAGAAAAGGAATGCAATGAAAATGAGAGGAATCTTTAGGAAGTACAACTATTTCTTGCACACTGCTACCCTGAACATACACATATATAACAATCAGAGACAAAAGTTGACAACTAGCTTTTCCTTTTCAAGTAATGAAACAAACCCAAAGGATCCTCTGATGCATTAAACACAAAGGATTCTTCTCTTTTTGAAACGAGTGTTCCCATACTTAACGAGATTCCACATTGTTAACTCTGAAGTTAATCGATAGGTGTCACAAATGTATGGTGACCTCCACTCTTTCTTCCACAAAGTTGGATCCCCACCCTCAAACAACAAATTTAAAACCCAAAAAAATCAAAGAATAAAAAACACAGAAGGAAAAAAGTGAATAAGTCAAATACCTATTTGCTCGAGACGGTAAGATAAGCCTCAATTTGGTTGCTCCCAAAGTTTATACAAACGGATAGGTTACTATTAGTATTAATTAATGACTCTACAAGTCTAAAAGCTCCCATGCATGTGCATGAAGCAGAAGAAGGTGAACTTATGATTACTATCTTAGAAGAAACACATAAAGGCAACCAAAGACGCTAACAAAGTCCAAAAGCCATTAGCTTTATATATTTCATGTGAATTAATGACAAGAAAACTAAGCTCCTTGTCCACCAATGATACCTATATTATCTACTCCTTCCTCTCATGGGGATTACAACAATTCATAAATATCATTTATCAACATAAATAATAAGAGGGCTGCTGAGCCTGCTTATACATCACTATATTATTTCACAGAAACTATTCATCTCCTATGTGGTTCCTAATGTGGCATGGGGGGTCCCAATATTTTTTAAATCAAGTAAATTACTAGTTTGTTAGTTATATGGATGAAAAAACAATAATGTCATCTCTTTTACACGAAAATGTATACTTTACTTCGTTTATGTTTGGGTTTTTGCACCATTTGCATTAGTTTCAGTCCATTTAACATTTACTAAACGGCAGGTCAGTGTCATTATGCCAAAACTGTGAAGCTTATTATATTTTTTTCAATCCTTAGGGATGTCAATATAATTTACCCCTTTAAATATGATGGGTTCCACATACACACATGGCATTTGTTGCATTGATACAAGCAGTCAGTAATATAAATTGATGAAATACATTCAGTGCTAAATAGCATTTCTCAAATGATAATCATGTTGCAACTTTAATATTTTTCATGTTAAAACAATTTATCTATTTTTCATTTAACTACAGCTCTTCTGTGTCTTTGTTTTTTAGCTTGTCCCCCAAATCCCAGATAATCAGCCCAGATCGTTGGACAATCTCACAAAACACTGAGACAACAGAAAATGACATCCAACAAAGTTCAAACCAAAGTTGCCTGAAAAAACACTCATTTCATCTTTCCTGTGTGTGCGTGCACGCGCATGGTTGTGTAGGTGAGCAGCGAACTTCATTAAGGCTACAACAGCAAAGAGAAGTTGGCCCTTTCTTTTTCTCTCCCTGCTGATTAGTGAAAGAAAATTGGCAAAAAAAGGTACAACAAAGTGGAAAACTTTGTGAGGGCTACATAAGTGTGGATCACCCAAAAGTAATTGTGACTCTAAAACATCATATATAATTCATCTCGATGGAAATAAAAAAATAAAAAAATTACTAAATCTATCCCTTTTTTATCAAATATTTAAGTTGGATTCTCCAACAGCGTAGCCAGAAAAATAAAATTGTAATTGACTATTGAAATAAATTTTCTAGCTAAGCTTTTGATGAACTAACATAATCAGATGTTTCATCAATCTATAATGAGATTCAAAAAATTACATTTAAAGTCAACCCTCGGCAAATAACAGTTAAACATTTCATTTGGGTAGTGGCGTGGAGGCATATAAATTTATTCCTGCTAATTTATCATATCATTCACTTCACAGATCTTATGGCGAGGGAAGCTTGTACAGTAAGTAGTCAATGTACTATCGAAAGAAGAATTACAATAAACTTGTTCAGCAAACTAATATAATCTTGTCATTATATTACTAAACTGAAAGCTCCTGATTAGTTTGTATCTACACCAATATTTTCAATAATCATACCTACCAACAGAGCATTTTAACTGTTACATTTCAAGAAGTAAAGTTGCAAATCAAAACACAGAACCAAATCAGATATTCAATTAATAATAATCATTAACATCTTACCTCTTTTAGTTCTGGCATTCCATCGAACGGTTGGTATGTCGCAATTCCACTAATACCCAAACTCCCACTTCCTCCTCCTCCTCCAAGTATAGAATCGTTGAAATTTTGCGAAAACCACTTGTCAATCAAATCCAGTGATAGCTATAACCACAAAAACAATCAAATCAAATCAAATCCAAAACCAATACAATGAAAATTAAAAAAAGAAAAACAAAAACATACCCTATTTTCTGATAATCCGAGCTGAATGATACCATTTGGATTCTTCAACGAATCGTAAGAATCTTCAGAAACCCTATCCAATCCAATGTAATAGGGCGAATCATTAGGCTTCGCAATCGGACTAGCCCTAGAAGATATGTTAGCCTGCCCTATCGATCCACGGCTCAACAAATTAGACCGCGACGCAGTCCGAGAAAGCTCGGCGAGGTTGGATGAGGAAGGTGACGACGGCGGCGGAGGAGGAGGAGAGCGGTGGCGCTTGAGGTGGAACTGGAGGAAGTAGAATAGGGCACAAGGGATCAGAGACCCCAAGATTAAGCCACCCCTACCTTGAACTACCCCTTGTAAGGGCACTATGAGTCTCATACCTGTTCCTCCGCCGCCGCCGGAGGGGGAGAGGGGTCGGCGGGAATCGTCTTCAGATTCGGGGGGAGGCCGGGATTGGGTCATAGGAGTCGCCAGAGTCCGGTGGCCTGCGTCTAGAGGTTGGTCTTGGAAGCTCCAAAGTGTGGGAGAGTGAGACAGAAATGGTTTTTTTTTTTTTTTTTTTTTGTTTTGTTTTGTTTTTTCTAGGGTTTGGTTTTTTTTATTTTATTTTAAATAATGATATATGCATCAATTGCTATATTAATTATCAATAAATAATGATATATGCATCAATTGCTATATTAATTATCATATTAATCAATAAAAAACATGACAAAATTTAAAAAAATTTAATTATTTATAATTTATATAATGAGTGAGAGTGAGTTATAATTTTAAAATAATACTAATTGATATATCAATTAATATGTGTGGGGTCATATTTTTTTTTAAATGCTTTTGTTTTTTGTTTTTTGTTTTTTGTTTTTTTTTTTGTTTTTTGTTTCGTGAATTTTGAGGGGATGCTTGATAAGGAGGGAAGATGAGATGCTTTTGTTTGATGGGGATTATTTTGGGAGCTTCCCTCCCTCCATTAAGTACGATTGTCTTGAGTGACTTGGATTCCCATCAAATTAAAAATATGAGTTGAGATGGGGATTTTAAATAATTTATTAAATTTTTTATGTGGGTATAAAATTTATACACGTGTGGATTTGTGTGAATTTTATATTTATGTAAAAAGTTTGATAAAAAATTTAAAAATATATAGCAGCCACTGCCGTACAACAAAATTGGTCAATTTCGAAATTTATTTTGATAATTTAAACTGTTCATAGTTTAAAATACATCAAATAGAATATGACTACAAAAAATCAAGTTTATCGGATATCGTTTACCTATTCATCCACTCACATTTGTATCTAGTGGATGAATAGGTAAATGATATTCGATTAAATTATGAAAGAGGATAACCTTATAGTTTATTTGTATATTTTATTTTCAAATTCTTATTTCTATCTAATTTCCTATGAAAAAAATGGTGTGCTAAATGTTTTTCTTAAAGTTCATCTAACATAGAAAGATTTAAAAAGTAACAAAAATTGAAAAAAAAAATTGAAAAAAAGTTCATTTAATTTAATTTTTTTGTCTTTTGTGGATTTTATTTATTTATTTATTGATAAATTACACTAACCTCCTCTAAGATTTTGAAAAAAAATATAACAAACCCCACAATTTTGACATAGTTACATTAAATTTTTCTAAAATTTTAATTAATGTAACACTTCATTCCTTTTCTCATTAATAATTTGGTAGTCATATAGATTAAAAGAAAAGATATTGTTATTTTTTTACACTAAAATGTATATTATTTCTTATTTATCCTAGTGTTTTCATACTATATGTATTATTCAGGTCCATTTAGTCTTATTAAAAGAGAAGTCAATATAATTATATTAAAATTGTGACGCTACTTGTATTTTTTTCAAATCTCTATGTGGGTGTAAAATTTATACACGTGTGGATTTATGTGAATTTTATATTTATGTAAGAAATTTGATAAAAAATTTAATAAATTATTTAGAGTGCATAACAATTTTTTAAAAACATATAAGAGCCTCTATCATGATTAATCAATTTTTTCATTAAATTTGAATAAAAAAATCTAAGCTTCTTGATTTGATATCAGTCGCTTTAACAGTTTTCATCAAAAGAAAGGGGGACATATGAGGGGTCGACCGGCCGATCGAGCAAACAAGAAAATTGAAAATTTTTTTCCCTCCCATTTCACACCATTAATCATCGACTCCGCAAATTTCTTGTAAAATCCATCAAGATCCTTCTCTTCTGACACTGAAATTCCATTCAATGTTATTCACACCATCCAGTGTTATTCCCCCACAAATTTTTTTTCCCCCATTTCACACCTATATCGTAATTGTTTGCTTTTGTTTGACAGGATTGTTATCGGCATCAAATGCAATGATGGAATTGTCTTGGTAACACACTCTCTCTCTCTCTCTCTCTCTTCCAAATTTGTGTTCCTGGTTTTAGGGTTTATATATATATATACATAATAGAGATGGAGAAGAGAAAAATTGAGAAGTTATCAAAATTTGAAATTGAAATCAAAATCTAAACTAATTATATATAAGTAATTGCACAGGGATAATTTAGGAATAAAACCAAGAAATGTTTGTGCTTTTATATAATAGAAGATTATATATATATATATAAATATGTATGTATGTGTGTGTAATTGTAATTTGTTGGTTATTTGAATTCTGTGGCACATTTCACATTCCAACAAGAATTGAAGCAGATTGAAGTACTGTGCATGCGCTGGTCAACCGGTGGGTCAATTGGCCGAACATCCGGCCAGTTGACCGGTGGGCCCCGCCTCCAACGTTCCCAGTAAATTGGTGAAATCTCATGTGGATCTCAGTTTGATGAAATTTTTGTTTCATTTTCAATTTGAAATCAGTTTGGTAAAACCATTACAAAGGAAAAAAGGTGACTTTTTGCATCAAATTCAAATTTGATGTTGAATCTGATACAACGTTAGAGATGGTCTAATCCGTCTGTTGTAAAATATTAATTCCTTTTAAGAAATTTAATTTTTTAGTAATATAATTATTATATTTTAAAAATATTAAAATTTTAAAACTATTCTTTTGATTTAAAACTAATTCCCATGCAAAAATTATGTTTACAATAAAAAATACATACATTTCTTCTTGATAAATCTTGTAACCAATTACCTCATTATCCATTTTGTAAAATTCACTCAACATACGTTGATTAAAAGGAGATAGACTTACGTTGATTAACAGTGTTCTATCTTCCATCCCGACATATTTTATGTCCGTCCATGTGATCTCGATGTCAGTGGCCAAGTGGATAAAGCAGTTGTAGAGGGATTTCTTGTGGGGTTCTGGGAGGGAGGGTTTCCATTATCACTTGGTGGCCTGGGATCGAATTTGTCGTCCCAAGGTGCAGGGGGGTTTGGGGATTCGAAGGTTGGTCTTGTTCAATGTAGCCCTGTTAGGGAAATGGTTGTGGCGGTTTGTAGCAGAGCGTGACTGTTTCTGGAGAAGGGTAGTGGTAGCAAAGTTTGGTGTGGGGCATGGCGGGTGGTGTTCGGGACGGGTAGGACACCCCATTTTTGACCGACCTTAAGACTCAGACGTCACCGATTGAGCGCTTGGAAGCGGGTGAAGCTCAAGGTTGGGGTAGGGGATAGGGTTCGGTTTTGGCGCGATCGGTGGTGTGGTGATCTCACTTTAGAAGAGCGGTTCCCTTTGGTTTTTGGAATTGCCGTTGATGCTGAGGTTTTGGTGGGTGTTGTGTGGTCTGGCCAAGGGGTTTCGACTATTTGGAATGTGGGCCTGCGCCGTGCTGTTCAAGATTGGTTGCAAGGTCAGTTGGTGGAGTTGTTGGCTTTTTTATATGAGTTGAGAGTGGGAAATGACGGACAGGACTCTTTGGTTTGGGAATGTCCTGGGGCTAAGGGGACTTTTTTCGTTTCTTCTTATTATTGTGTGCTTGCTTATGTGGAGGAGGTTGCTTTTCCTTGGAAGTGTGTCTGGGTTCCGGGTACGCCATCTAAGGTGGTCTTTTTTGTGTGGACGGCTATGTTGGGGCGTGTTTTGACTTTGGATAATTTAATTCGCCGTGGCCACATATTGGTTAATTGGTGTTGTTTGTGTTGTGGTGCTGTGGAGTCGGTGGATCATTTGCTCATTCATTGTCTGGTATCTTCTCACCTTTGGATGTCAGTTATTGCAATTTTTGGTTTGGCTTGGGTGTAGCCAGCGTCGATTCAAGCAATCCCACATAGTTGGGCAGGGAGTCGTGTTGGAAGGAGACGTCGGAAGGCGTGAATGCTTGCTTCTCATTGTGTTCTATGGTTGGTTTGGTTGGAGCGAAATATGCACGTTTTTCAAGGGCTGTCTCATTCAGTCCTTTGGTTAGAACAGCGACTTCTTACGATATTGTATGATTGGGTGACTAGATCGGTTGATCTGGATGTTTTGGCTTTTGTCGAATTCGTGAAAGATTTGATTTGTTAGTTTGTTTGTTTGTGAAGCCTCTATGGCTTCCTTTTTTGTATTCTTTGCATCATCTTGATGCTTTTTAATAATATTTGGTTATTTATCAAAAAAAAAAAAATTAATAATAATAAATTTAAATTTTATGTCTAAATTATATTATAGCTTCTCAAATTGTGATGAGCATGAGCCAGTTTGAGAGATTTCGGTATTAGATTAAACACTAAAATTAACCTAAAAATCAAGTTCGAATCGATTTTTATACCAATAATTCTTGGCTCAAGCCCAGTCTTTAGAGATTTGTTTTATTTTTTTGTCCAATTCATGAGTTACTTGGCCCAATTATTTATTTATTTTTGAATTATAAAATATATTTTTATAACAGAAATAGGAAATATGAGCATCCACCTTATTTGGCAATTGTTTAAAACATTACCATTTTTCCTAATTTTTCTTTCCTTCAATTAAAATAAATAAATCCATATTAATTTTTTCCCTATTTTTGAGGTGCTTTTATTCTAGAAGAATCTGAAAAAATTGAAAAAAAAAAGAAAGAATAGAAATAACAGATAAAAAATTAAATTAAATTAAGCTTACTTTTGAATTTTTCTCAATAACAAAAAAGCAAATTTTTAAAATTTGTCAAACGCACCAATTTTTTTGTTCCCCAAAAACTTTATTCTAAGAAAATAAAAAAAATACTAAAACTGCATTTAACAAACCATTATGCAATATAAGTTTGTACAAAAATAGTAATTAGCGAAGTTTAGATTAGGAGTTTCTATAATGACCCTTAAAAAAAATCAAATATGAACACTAGATAAAATAAAATAAAATAAATACAAAGTAAATTTAAGAAAAATTGCTAAAGAAAATATTTTTCCCGCTAAGGGTATTGGGTAACAACCTAAGAAGCCAATTTCAACGCAAATCATAGCCTCATATTGCAATTCATACAACCTCTACAATAAAAAAATAAAAATAAATTAAATTAAATAAAAAATCGAAACAAATAAATCAAAAGTATTTAAAAATTGAATGCTTTATTACATACCTGTATTCGCTGTTCTTATATTGTAATTTATACAACCCTTACACCAAAATAAAAATATAAAGAAAAGAAAGTCAAATCAAATAAATAAAAAGTTTAACAGTTAACGGTTAATTACATAGATTTATACACTTAACGCTTAATTACATAGATTTATTCACTATTCACAGGTTAATTTTTTAGCAATTTTATACATCATCATTGCTAAAAAAGAGTGAAACACAATTCATAATGCGGTGAGAGATTGAGTAGGTATTAAGTTATACCAAGAGAAAACTTAAAATAGAAGAAGATGATGATAATTTCAATAAGAATCACCTTTCACGGTTTTTCTCCCCATACTGTTTTTTTTTCCCCTCTCTTGCCGTGATTTGTTCTTATTGGAGGTGTTTGTTTTAGCTTTTCAGAGTTAACTTATGACTTTTAGCTTTGAAAAAGTTATTTTGGACTGCTTGATTAAACTTATTTCAAACAGCTTCTGATTCTAACAGCTTATTTTAACTCAAAAAAGCTGATTCTGAGAAGCTGCTCACCCCTTACTTCTGATTATCAGCTTCTGCTGTGGACATGTTAATTTTTTGTTCTACTCTTAATTTTTTTTATTTTTTATTTCTTTAAAAATAGAAAAAGACCCAAATGGACTATATATTATTATTATTATTTTTTATGAGAAATGTAGACAAATAAAAAATAAAAATTAATTGAAAAAGTTATTTCACAGCTTATTTAATAAACACTACTCAGCAACTTAAATCTATAATCCAACAGTTATACCAAACAGATTAATAACTTCTGATTAAAGTCATAATCTATAATCTGTTAAGGTATAATCTATAAACTGTTTTAACAGCTATATCAAACGAGGCCATTATAAGAAGTGAGAGACGATAGTAAATAACTTCTCGAGGGATTGTAATATTGTTTTAGGGATAAAATTGATGTACTGAAATTGTAATATCATAGGGTATTAAAATTGAACAAAATATGAAATGAGAGAAAGTTAGGTAAGAAAGGATATAAAGTAGAAAGTTTATATTTCCTCTTCAAATTTTACAAATCATGGTATAATAATTAATAGGCAATAATGTTTTTTTTTAATAAAAAAATTAACAATTTTAGGATGAAAACTTGAGGCCTTAGAGGCTTTCTCATTAAAAATTCATTTTGCTTAATATATAGTATAAATAGTACAATTTTTTTGGAAACATCAATTGTCATAATTATATTTTTTTTGTATATATTAAATGAATTTAAATTTAGTACTTGATTATTGAAAAGAGACTAATATTTTGGAATAATAAAAAATGAAATAAGAGACTAATATTTTGAGACGGGGTAAGTATATATATATTTTTAAAAATAATATATAAATTTATTCTGTAAACTTATTTTTTAAATCCAGTGATGTGTAATAGAGATGATTAGCTGATGATTAGAGAAATAGAGAATTGCATTAAATATTCTAATAGAATAGGAGTATCAATATGCAACTAGTTAAAATTTTGTTATATTTTAACTTTGGGTTCGTTTGGGTTGGCTTTTTGACTTTTTGGCTATTTTAGCCTAGGGTTAAAAAGTCTCGTTTGGGATGGACTTTTTTGACTTTTGTGAGAGAAATAATATAATAATTATAGATTAGATATAATATTTTGTCTTATTAGGTTAAAAAGCCTATTTTGTTTTTTTGTGACTATTTTAGCCAAAAAAAAAAAAAGCCGCAAACTTATCTTTCCAAATGAGCATTTAGAAGTTACTTTTTCTATTTTGGTCTTACATCTTTTTAAATATATTCTCTAACAACTCTATTATTTTTCCTATACTATTTAAATAACATTATTTTATTAATTTTAATTTAGAATTATTTTTTATAAACTCAACATAATTAATTCCAAAATATAAAAAATAATACTTTTTTAATGTTTGGCTAAGGTAAACTACTAGTTACATTTGTTGCGTTAAAACCATCAAAACTAAAATGGCTAACCTGATAACCAGTTTGATAGAGGTGAAATTTAGTGATTTATTCCCTATTTTAACTAAAAAATAAAAATAACTAATTTGATGTTGATGCTCTAACGCATCATTATATTTAAAAAAGTGAATCTAATTTTTGAGTTAAAATAAATTATTTTAATTATTATTATTTTTTTTTTGTATGTGTATGTGTACGTGTCTTTAGTAATTATTTCAGATTTGGAAAGACCATGACAAAATGATTTTTGAGAATCTAACTCACACCATTCAAGTTATTTATAAAAATATCCTGGACTATGCTAATGAGATGTAGGAGTCTTTTCGGTTCCGTTCTCTCTTAACCACAATCAATCTAGACTTGAGGACTAAACGTTTTAACTAAAAGATCATTATAAGGTATTATATCACTCTCTTTATTTTTCTTTTACATTTTTTCGTAAAAGTAAAGAAATTATTTAAATAATATATTCCAAAATCAGGCCTGATTAGTTGGTATTTTCCTCGAAAGGCAACCCAGGCCAAGATGACTATGGAGGCCTGCTGAGGGATGCAACAGGAATCTAGATATGGGGATACTATGCCAAGCTATACAAATGTTCATGCTTTGAAGCAAAAATTTGGATAATCTACAGAGGACTCACCATTCTATTCTAAAAAGGCACCATTAAGGTAAAGACAAAATAGATACTGAAATGATCATAAATTAAATAGCATTGATAGAAGATGCAAAATTCGTGCTGAAAAGATGCAAATGCAACCTTGGACACATTCTGAGAGAAAGGAACAAATGTGCTGACAAGCTAGCAATAGGGGTGGAATAAGAAGAACATGTGGTGGTTCTTGAAGACCCTTTGATGATATCAGGGCTCTAGTCATAGATGATGTGACTGGAGTGGGTTTGCATAGCAGCCACTGCTGTATAACAAAATTGGTTTATTTCGGAACTTATTTTGATAATCTGAATCGTTAACAGTTTAGAATACATCAAATAGAATATGGCTACAAAAAATTAAGTTAATCGGATATCGTTTACCTATTCATCCACTCACATTTGTATCTAGTGGATGAATAGGTAAATGATATCCGATTAAATTAATTTTTTGTAAGCATGTTTTACTTGATGTATTCTAAAATAAGAACGGTTTAGATTATCGAAATGAATTCCAAAATGTCCCTATTTTGCTGCACAGCAGTGGCTACTGTGCCCTCTGTAAAATAGCGATCCCAAATCTGACTGAAGTTAGTTATGAGAGAGAATAACCCTATAGTTTATTTGTATATTTTCTTTCAAATTCTTATTTCTATCTAATTTCCTATGAAAAAAAATGGTGTGCTAAATGTTTTTCTTAAAGTTCATCTAACATAGAAAGATTTAAAAAGTAACAAAAATTGAAAAAAAGTTCATTTAATTTATTTATTTTTTTTTTTTGTCTTTAGTGGATTTTATTTATCTATTAATTTATTGATAAATTACACTAACCTCCTCTAAGATTTTGAAAAAAAATATAACAAACCCCACAATTTTGACATAGTTACATTAAATTTTTCTAAAATTTTAATTAATGTAACACTTCATTCCTTTTCTCATTAATAATTTGGTAGTCATATAGATTAAAAGAAAAGATATTGTTATTTTTTTACACTAAAATGTATATTATTTCTTATTTATCCTAGTGTTTTCATTCTATATGTATTATTCAGGTCCATTTAGTCTTATTAAAAGAGAAGTCAATATAATTATATTAAAACTGTGACGCTGCTTGTATTTTTTCAAATCTCAGAGAGGTCAGTGTAATTTTCCCTTTTTGTTTTACTTTTCTAGTCTATCTAGTTGACTAAAATCTAAAAATGTAAACTTTTTCTATTTTTTTGAAATACAATTAGCTGAAGATGAAAAAAATTAATAAAAAAGTTGTTAAAAAAACTAATTCTAAACAGTATATTAGTCAATTTTTTTCTTAAAATTATCATAATATCCTTATTTTTAACATTTCAAATTCTAATTCTCAAATAATTACCATTACAATTGCCACCGCGACAAACCACCGTTTGCCACCGCCACAAACCATCATTTGCCATGAACTCCTTTTTGTTGCGAATTCCCAAGCCATGAACCATCCATGCTATGAACTATCTCTTCCTCCATGAACTCCCATATTGCGAACCATCCTTGTTAGAGCATTTTCGATGGTTATTGCTATTTTGAAATGTCAAAACTATAGTTTTACATGTTACAATACCAAAACACTAAAAAATTTGATAATATTGCTTAAGTGGTTCAAGTGTCATTTTGACACAGTCAACTTTTTTTTTTTATATCACTTTTCTTTATATAGTCTTTCCTCCATTCTAACTGTTGCTATAGTTGTTAGATTCACACAGATTTATCACTTCCCTCAACTCTCATTCTTGACTTACATCACATTGAAACTCTCTTATCTTCTCTAGTGACATCCTTGGTGTTGTCACCTTACCTTCACTCTCTAAAATGCTTAAAACACTTTCAATGCATATAGCCATATAATTTACTATAATTGTTTCTTATTTACATCCATCATTAGGATTCAATTTACACATCGGGATTTTAAACTTTTGTTCCAGTTACTCGTAAATATATCAACTGATACTATTATTTAAATTCATTCGATTACATACACTACTCTTTTTTCTGTACACCACAATGTATATGATTGGGGGTACAAACATCTATATTTTACTGAATTTTGATTCTTGAATCAATATCACTGGTGGTGATGGTGGTGAGGAAACCAGAGAGATGAATGCTTTGAGGGCCCACAACTGAGAAGGTTACTTCATCATTACTATTTAACTCCAAATTCAACTTGCATGAGGACTTGTTCCCTAACATTAGTGAACACAAGAACACTGCACACTTATCTTTTGCAGCACCTTTAAGTATGCTTCTCCTTGTAGATGAACCAAGGCCTAGTGTTGCCTGTTTGATCACATCAATCAAAACCAATTTCAATAGATTGGTTTATTATTGTGAAAATTTTTGTTAAATTATTAAGTGTAACTTTTACTTATAGTTAATCAAGTATTAAATAACTTAAATAAGTTGAAAAAATTGATTATCTGAAAATTAGTAAACGGATATTTTGACTTATGTTTTTTAATTATCAATTTTTAACTTATAATAAACTACACCAAATTGGCCCAATTAAACATGGAAACCTTCTGTTTATGTTTTCATTTTGTTTGTAAATTATATAAAAAAAAACTTAATTAGTATACTGTTATTGCTTTTAAAAAAAATGAAACTGATGCTCAAATTTTCAAAAAATTTTGAAAGAAAAAAAAGTGTTTTGCTTGTTTTCAAAATCAGTTTTTCACTCTTTTCTCCCTCCATCCCTACCTTACCACCTCTCTTAGTCAAAATGTACACAAAAGAGGCCAATTGAGCTAACTCAATTGATTATCTATTTTATTGACTATAACATCTAAGTTTTAAAATATTGATTTTTTTTTTAGATGGTAAAATATTGATTTTTTTTATAGGCCATGTTTTATATCAAAATCGAGTGCTTTTTACAAAACAAGAGATAAAATTGTAACATATATTTATATATAAATTTTTAAAAATTAAATAAAACCTTGAGAAATTTGGGATATAAAACCAGAGTTTTGTTGATTATATATGATTGAATCCAAGAAAGAGGCATTAGTTTGAGGAAATAAACCTGAGATATGTGAAGCTTTACTCCCGGATCAAGTTGGCAAGTGTATGGTGAGCTAGGTTTGACTTCAATCCCTGTAAAATAAAACAAAATAAAATAAGAAAATGATATAGAAAATCATTTTTTAAACCCACTTTCTAAATGTGTAAGTAAGATAATTAGTTAATAGTTAAAGAAAACATGAGAGAGAGAGAGAGAGAGTTTTGTCTTAAATATTCTAATAGACTGCCACATGAGTCTAATTTGTTTGGCCGGAGTAACATTATCCATTGATTTGTACATGAAAAAAAATATACATAAAAATGGTTTCAAGAGCTGTAGAATTTAGTTGAAGTGCATATATGTATGGTGCAGGCGTTAGGTTTGTTGGATCAGCAAGAATACAATTATTAATGTTATGTTTGGATTATGATTTTTGATAAAAGTTTGGAATGAAAAGAAAAGCAAAATGGAGTAAAACATCAACTTATGTTTCATTTGCATATCCTTCACTTTTTTCTTTTTCCTTTCAAATTTTTTACCTAAATCTATGATCCAAACATAACTTAAGATTGTGTTTGAATCATATACTTCAATAGTGATTTGAAAAGGAAATGGAAAAATAAATAAAATTTATGATCCAAATATAGCTTAAGAGATATTAATTGTTGGACCTGTTTGGATGTGTATTTGTTTTGTTTTGTTTTTCCCTTCTTTTTTTTTAGAAGGAAAATTAGAAAACATCTGTACAAAAACAATTTAAAAAAAAAAAATCACAATATGCTTGATTGGATTTTCATTTTTAGTTTCATGTTTTTAGAAACAAAAATTATGAAACTTCCACAAACAACCATCATTTTCATATCATTTCATTTTTGTGCAAAAATTATTTCTCAAAAAATTGAATAAACTTTTTAGTATTTTTTAAAATGTGAATTATTTAGAAAAAAAAAATCGAAGATAGTTTTCAAAAGCAATACGCCTAAGTTTTTTTGTTTTCAAAAAATGAAAACTCAAAGCAAATATACAACCATACAAACCCAATTTTTTGTGTTTTTTAAAAAATTCAATATTTTTTTTTTTCCAGATTTTTTCCTTCATCAAAAACAATGCCAAACCAGTTTTCCAAGAAATCAAAATAGAAAACGAAAACACGAGCAAGACTCTAATATTCTTGAAAACACAACTAAATGCGCTAAGATTAATGCTATATATAAACGGATTTCTCACAAGAATTTTTTACTACTACAAATAAAAATAGTGGACTCACGTTAATAAATACATGTGGAACTCATGCATTTTTATCTAAAGGTAAGAAAATCAAGTAAGAATTACATTTGTATATCATTTTCCATTTTAGAAAATTTGTGAACTTTTTTTTCTAAAAAAACAAAAAACAAAAAGCAGAAAATAGAAAACGAAACCGTAAGGGAAAAACTAACCCCAGAAAGCCATTTCTCAGAAATTTAAAAGTAAACAAAGCACTCTTAATTTAATGGCAGATATAGCTGATCTTCTTGGTGCTCTGACATTTATAATGGGACTTGGCATAACGCAAAATTGGAGTTTGCAGAAGAAAGATGAAGAAAGAAGAAAAAAGAGCATCAGGAAAAGGATCATCTCATGATGTGTCTCAGAAAAAGAAAAGGATCAAAATTATACCAAAGTACACATAAAAGGGCAAACTGCCTGAAGAAAAGAATGAAATTATTCTCATTGGATTAGGAGGGTGTTCCGGTTGTTTACATGAGCATGGTTTGACCCAACAGTAAAGTTCGTCTTTAGTTAAGGATGGATTTAAGGCCGTTTGTTTTTAGAGGTAGAATAGAGGAGATTTATAATGAGGGGATTAAATAAAATCGTATTTGTTTTGATGATAATTGTTAGTGTAGGAATTCTTAAATTATTTTTATATAAAAAAATAAAAATATATAAAAAATTAAACATTAATATTTAAAAAAAATTCCCAATATATAAAAAATAAAAAAAATAAAAAAATTTTAGTTAAGGATGGATTTAAGGCTGTTTGTTTTTAGAGGTAGAATAGAAGAGATTTATAATGAGGGGATTAAATAAAATCGTATTTGTTTTGATGATAATTGTTAGTGTAGGAATTCTTAAATTATTTTTATATAAAAAAATAAAAATATATAAAAAATTAAACATTAATATTTAAAAAAAATTCCCAATATATAAAAAATAAAAAAAATAAAAAAATTTCTAATTCCTTCACTATTTTTCTAATACCACCTCCACCTCCTCCATCCCAATCCCTCTTCCAACATCCATCTATATCTCCTCATCTATCATAATCTCTTCCTCAACTCTACAAACAAACACAACACTAAATAACCCTACCTCCATCCTAATCCCCTTCCATCCATTAAACCCCAAAACAAACAGGGCCTAATGGTGTAGCGGGACAATTGCTTTGTTAGAATTAGTCTATCCATGTGATAAATATGGATTCAATATGATTATTGAGTTGGTTTATACATATATTTTGGTTAAAGTAGTTAGGGTGTAATTTGGGTGGGCTTAACTTAAGTAACCCAAACCCAGCACAAATATTTTTAGGATTTAAATAAGATATTTTTAAATTCGATACAAGCTTGGGCAAAAATTTAGAAGATCGAATTAAATTTGGGCAGGCATAGACAAAGACGTCAAACAACCCGAGCAACTCGAAACCCAAATTATATATATATAGATATATAAAAATATTAAATATACATATAAAATATTAGCCATTACATGATATTAATGTAATTTAGATTATTAAATCATATTAAATATATATTATATATACAATTAACATAAAATTTTACTTTTTTTTGTTTTCACTCATAAATTGTAAAGACTCTCTCTTATATTATATAAATTATTTATTTTGATAGTATTAATGATTTTTTATATAAAAAAATATATAAATAGAGTTAAATTTTAACAATTTAATAATGTAGCTGCATAAAAAAAAAATCATTTACAATTTGGGTAATTCAAATTTAACTCGGGTCAGGCTTGGGCAAACAATCTCGGGTTATAATTCGACAGGCCTGAACAACTCTCGGCACAACTTGAATTGGATTTAAACAATCCCCGAACCCGCTCAAATTGCACCCTAAAAGTAGGAGAGTCTGAAGTCTACTTGAAACCCAATATGTGTATATTTTATTTACCTAATTGTATATACAAGTAGACTTCTTATGAATAGATAACATAAATAGCCATGTGCCTATAAGTTTTGGAGATATTGAGATAGCATGGAGGAAAAAATACAGATATAAAGAGTGAGAGGCAAAAATACTGTGGAGCTCAACTTAATTGCATACCCAAAAATTTGAATTTTTTTTATCAGTATTATACTAATAATTAGTAAGATAGTTTCAAAATAATAAGATTCCTTTCCCTTACTATCCAAGTTATAGAATTCACATCTTTAAATCAACTATATGAGAATTTTCTTTTAAATAGTTTGCCAATCAAATTTTATTAAATATTATTCTTTGTTCTTGTTTACTTTTGAGAAAATTATTTATAAGTCCTATTAGGGAGACTTATGTTACATATGGTCCTATTAAAAAACTTATGTTCCCATAAGTCTTGTGGAAAGTTTGTTGACACATTTACCCTCAATATTAGTTGTTAATATAATAAATAATAGTAAAACCATACATAGAAAATTGAATGTTACCATAAATCATATCTATATAAACGTAACGTAACGTGACACCTACATAAACGTAACGTGACACCTATAATCTATGGTAATATGCAATTTGCTATATAGGAAATTATATGTTACCATAGATCATATCTACATAAACGTAACGTAACGTGACACCTACATAAACGTAACGTGACACCTATGATCTATGGCAACATTCAATTTCCTATATAACGTGACACCTACATAAAAGTAACGTGACACCTGTGATCTATGGCAACATTCAATTTCCTATATAGGAAATTGAATAGGAAATTAAATAGGAAATTAAATGTTGCCATAGATCATATTTATATGAAATGTAACGTGACACCAACATAAACCAACAACATTTTCACATTCAATTTAAAAAAATAAAAACTCCTTAAGTTTGCGAAACGTAATGTGACACGTTACGTTACGTTTATGTAGGTGTTACGTCACGTTACGTTACGTTTATGTAGGTGTCACGTCACGTTACGTTTATGTAGGATCTTGTGGAATACATTCCTATCTAAATAGAACTTGAGACTCTATAAGAAATTATACAAGACTTATAAATAAGTCTCCCTTTATTTTTGCCTGGAGTATACCTTTTTTGTTAATACGTAGGTTATTAACTCAACAATCTTGTATTCTTTTTAGTAGAAATTAGTAATATATCCGTCTACAAATTTCTATAAAAGTTAAAAACACATTGAAAGATTGTAGGTTAGTTAAGGTCCCTGAATTTCAAGTTTTGATAGGATAAAGAAATTTTTTGAAAAAAATGGTCAAGATTACCCTTAAACCCTAAAAATATTAGAACAATTCAAGTTTTTTTTTTTTTTTTTTTTTTTTAATGAGTTTCTTTATGTCTCTCTCTCTCTCTCTCTCTCTACACCGCTTCAACCATCTTCTCATTGTCGTCACTTTTAGACCAATCATCGCCGCTCCCAGGTCCATTGCCGCCGTCGCTGCTATCGTTCACAACAACTGTCCAAATCTAAAAATCATTACCATTTGCAACCATAGTCTATATCTGAATTGAGTCATCATTCACAACTAGAAACCCATCATTGCCTTTCCCAAATTCTCTATTGCGGTTTCTAGATCCATCATTATCGCCGTCTAGATTTGAAATGAGTCATACGGTTCGTAACCACACTCTAGATTTTTTATTTTTATTCTTCCTCTCACTCTTTCTACTCTTTTTCTATTTATAACATGTTCCCAAACAAATCCTAATTAATTGATATTTTCCTCTTGCAAGCAAGCTTAAGCTCAACACATATGGTTGTTCGAAAGGCAACCCAGACCAAACTGACTATAGAGGACTTGTTAAAATTAAAGCCATATTTACATTAGATATATTGGATACATTGGGTTCATGTATTCTTTGTATTCATGTGTTTTATATTTATTAGGTTCATTGTCTAGATTAAATTCATATACCTAGTTAGTTGTAAAGTTATTCATTGAACTTATGCATAACCTTCTCTATATAAAAGGATAGAATCCTATGGGCAAAGAAAAGAATAAGAGAAAAAATCCATGATCAATACAAGTTAAATTCAATACAAAATAATAGTTCATTCTAGAGAGAGTTTTATCAAAAGCTAACAGAAGTGGTATCAAAGCTTTGGTTGGGTCAAGAACAAGCTGGGCATAGAGATCGAATACGAGGAAAACAAGCCCCATAGAAGAACAAGCTGATGTCCGTGGCAAATTCTAGCAACCAAAATATATCTACTCCTATATTTAATGGTGAAAATTTTGATTTTTGGTATATGAAAATGAGGACTATTTTTGTCTATACGGATCTTTGGGATCTTGTTGAGAATCGATTTGAGGAACCTGAAGATGAAGGAGCTTTGACAAATCTCCAAAAGAACCAATTGAAAGAGCAAAGGAAGAAGGATTCAAAGGCTCTCTCTTTGATTCAACAAGGAGTTTTAGAAGCAATCTTTCCAAGAATTATCATGCTACAAAAGCAAATGAGACGTAGGATATTCTTTAAAAAGAGTATAACTTGAAGATAAGAACCATCAAACTTCAATCATTGAAAAGAGATTTTGAAAATATAAAGATGAAGGATATGGAATTGTTGTAGGATTATTTTTCTAGAGTTATGCAACTTGTGAACCAAATGAAAATTTATGGGGATAATATTTCGCATCAAAGAGTTGTTGAGAAAATTTTGATAAGTTTTCCGGAGAAATACAATCTTATTGTTGTTGTCATTGATGAAATTAAAGATCTTGCTGATTTGAGTATTGAAGATTTGATGGGTTCAATTAAAACATTTGAGCAAAGATTGAGTAGGTAATTTGAAAAGTCAATTGAAAGTGTCTTTCAATCCAAGCTCAATGTTAGTACTTCTAATTCCCAATGAAGAGGAAAAGGAAGAAATGCAAACGGAAGAGCAAGAAATGTAAGAGGAAGAGGAATGTCTAATTTTCAAAGAAAGGAAAATGAAGAGTCCACTCAACAAAAGTGTGGAATTTGCAACCGAAACAGTCATGTTGATAAAGATTGTTGGTTTCGGAGAAAGCCAAAATGTTATAATTGTAACAAATTTGGGCATGTCAAGAAGGATTGCCAAGTCATGAGCACTCAACAAGCTAATTTTTTCGAGGAGCAGAAAAGAGAAGGGCATATGTTCTATGCTTGTCGCAAGGCATCAAATCAAAACAAGGATGTATGGTTTCTCGATAGTGGATGTAGCAATCACATGACATGAGATGAGAGCATTTTTGTGAAAATGGATGCTTCCTCTAGTTCTCAAGTAAAAATGGGGAATGGTACCTTAGTTCAAACAAAAGCTGGACAACTTATGGAGCATGGATACCTTTTTCACTTTGAAGAAGATTTTTTCAAA